AAGTGCCCTAATATCGGATACTTTTTTTTGAGCTCATTTGTTTAAACTCGTCAATTAATTTATGAATATTTCAGAGCAAAACAAGGAATAGACTATAAAGAATCATTCATTAAACGAAAATAAGTCATTTCTAAAAAGTAAAAAATAAAATTTAAATTTTTATAAAAAACGGTAAATTTAGACTGACAAAAAAATGTTTCTAATAACGGATATTATTACTTTCTCTTTCTCTTTCTCTTTCTCTTTCTCTTTCTCTTTCTCTTTCTCTTTCTCTTTCTCTTTCTCTTTCTCTTTCTCTTTCTCTTTCTCTTTCTCTTTCTCTTTCTCTTTTTCTTTCTCTTTCTCTTTCTCTTTCTCTCTTTCTCTTTCTCTTTCTCTTTCTCTTTCTCTTTCTCTTTCTCTTTCTCTTTCTCTTTCTCTTTCTCTTTCTCTTTCTTTCTCTTTCTCTTTCTCTTTCTCTTTCTCTCTCCTTTTCTCTTTCTCTTTCTCTTTCTCATTTCATCATGATCTCACTGTGAGTGTTTAATTGCTCCGAGGTATTTATATTTGTTGACCCTCTCTAACGGTTTACTCTCTAATATCTGATATATGTTGTCAACAGGACTTTTTGTGATCACCATGTATTTGGTTTTATCTATATTCATTGTTAGTCCCATCTTTTTGCTTTCTTTGTTAAAGATTTCGATAAGAATTTGTAAATCTTCTATATTTTCTGCCATAATTGCGGTATCGTCGGCAAATCTTATGTTATTAATAGTGCTCACTCCAATTCTTACACCTTCAGTTATTTCCTATTGTGCCTGCTGAAATATTAGTTGGAAGTATACATTAAATATTTGTGCGGATAGTATACATCCCTGTCTGACTTCTCTTTGAATTTCTACTTGGTTTGTCTCATTATCTTTTACCCCTACGACCCTTGTTTTTGATTGTAGTATAGATTTTGGACTAAATTAATATCCTTGGGATCTAGGTGTATGTGTTTCAAACGCTTTTTGAAAATATATATAACATATGAATACGTTTTTATTATATTCACTGCATTTTTGAAATAGTACCTTAGCAACACTAGAGATTGAAATTATTGTGCCAGTTCCGTAAAACTATAGTAAATTTGAAAAAATATAGTAGGTAGATGAGAAAAAAATAATCGTCAAATTCAATTGTATCGCATAATTGTTTTTATGAGAGTGTTGAATTGAATATATCAATTGAAGTAATTGAAGTGTTGTACGCTATTATACTTCATCTAGTTTACATACTGTTGCACGTCATTATCTACGTCAGAGATCGAAGTTGACATAGTTGCCAAAGTATACAAAAATCCTAAATCCATTTTAAATCAAATAGGGCACATAATTATTACAAAAGTATTATCATCTCTTTACAACAACTATTTAAATTCTTACGTGACATTTTTGAAATAAAACACACTAATTTTGTTCTCAAAAGACCAGATTTAAAAAAGTGATTCTAAAACAGAACAAACCTACCGCCTAAATATTTCGGTTTGGTATCATGTGACGTCACGGACTATGACGCCGATGACGTGCATCGGTATGTAAATTGGATGAAGTATAGTGCTATATTAAAATGTACCAATTGTACCTGTACATATCACAATCATCATTTTGAAAGAAATATTAAAATAGATTTAATCGCTTAATTTTTTCAAATATTGCCAAACAAAAACTAAAACATATAGAAGTTTCCCAATTTTTGTATATATACATATAAACGAATGTATTACCCATTCAAAGTAATTTATAGAATTAAAATCGGATTATTCGGGTGGCGTCAGGGAGTTTTTTAAATTGTAAATTATTTGGCTTAAAAACAAATAGAACATCTCGGCAATCTCGGCAAAAGAAAGTTAAATTACGAGCTGTAATTTCTGAGATACAAACAGTGAAAGTTGACAGACATTTATAACGAATATTGTTCTGAAGCTATTTTTTTGTGGCATTGTAAATTAATTACTATTTAACTGGGAATAAGCCACAAAAAAAGAAAAAAATACGTTTATTGACGTTTCAATTTTTACTTCGGAAATCGTTCTCAAAATACAAACAAATCTCAAAAATCGTTTGTATTTTGAGAACGATTTCCGAAGTGGAAATTGAAACGTCAATAAACGTATTTTTATCTTTAATTGTGGCTTATTCCCAGTTAAATAGTAATTAATTTATAACGAAATTATAAACAATAGGATGATAATCTTTAAACCTTTATCTTTCTTCGTTAAAGCTGTTCCTCAATAAAAAAATTTTATATCTACAAAATATTCACAACAAATATTACATTAACAAAAACTCAATCAGAATGGCGCTTAAAAAATTCCAAAACAACTAGATTAAAGGAAATTAAATTTTAATATTTAAAAACGGTATATGTAAAAAAATTTAGTTTTTTGGCTTTCAATTAAGCAATTTTTTTTGTTCAAATATAACTTAAACAGAGACACCTAAATAACGCATTACGATATCTGATGGATGCTTTAATTTTATTATAAATAATTAAATTTATTTACAACAAAATAAACCTACATTATTTTCTCTTGTAGGCTTTTTAGAAATGCTTACCAAATATGTAAATTTTAACACTCTAAATACAAATATTTTCATTTGAAAGCTGTATAATGATTTAAACAATCTTTGTTTTTTAATTTGATTTTTAAATAATTTTTTTTTAATTTTTTATATTACATTAATAAACATGAATTTCACAACAATATAATATGAAAGATATTTTAAAATCAATTACGAAAAATTTCTTTCTTTCGGTCTAAAAATATCGTTTATGAAATTTATAGTAAATTTAGGGCTTATTGTAAAGGTCTGTTAGTTAAGAAGGAGCGTAATTATATGTAGTATGTCTACTATGATTATAGTATGATTGCTAAAATTGACTCGTTTATCCCAACACGTGGTAATCTTGCGATTTCTCCCATATACAAATTGTTGCATTTACAGGGTAGTTTATAGACGCAGCTCTTTGATCTCTAATGTGTGTTGTTGGGTTAGGTTTTGGATAGAATTTTGTTGTTTCCTTTCTTCAATTTTATAAAATCACGTGTTTTTAAATGGCAATGTAAAATTAAATGTAATTGTTTATTAAATCCTTTTTTAGCGGTTTTTCCTCCTGAAAGGCATTAAATCTTAAAGCTTTTCTTAGGTTTTTCTTCCTGAAATGCATTTTCATTGGAGCAGTTGTTCTAGGTCCTCTCATATAATGATTTGATAATTTTCTTTTTGATATTTGTGTTGTGTTTTGAGTGGCAGTTTAAATATCTGTTTATGTGCGTTGGTTTTTTGTAAACTTTGGTTGTAGGGTAAAGTGTGCAAATCGCGGTCACCTAAGAAGAAAATTTAATATAAAAAAAATAAAACTCTGTGAATCAAATTTAAGCCGTTAATCCGTAATTTCGGGTTTTAACTTATTGCAAGATACATTTAATTTCAAAAATATAAAATTTTTGTCTTTCACAGAGACAAAACATAAAAAAGTATCTTTGACCGGTATTGTCACCATACATGGACAATACCGGTCATGAGTGTGGGTAATGCCAGTCAATTTGTTTGTGTTATTATTAAAATAAAAATCAATATCTATTTAACATTTTTTTGTTATAAATCGATTAACGAATGTGGCTTAATGGGTCATAATTCAAGTAAATCAGTAAGAAAGGTGAAAAAATATTTTTTATTACAAAACAAACAAAAAATAACAAAAATATGTGTTTTAATGTAAACATAGTTGACAGTTATCGCAGGTATAACTCTCTGTAGAATCCCATTCACTGCACTCTGAATAAGCCCATCGTGAGCAAACGGTAAATACTTATATACCACAATTCATTGTTTTTGCCAAACTCTCTGTAAACCAGGCATCTATCTTCATATGCATCGTCACTGTTATCACATGATATATCAATATCCGATTCCAAAGAACTAGAATCAAACACCTTTTTCTTGTAATGCCAATTACAAGAAAAAGGTGTTTTATTACAAGAAAAATTATCTTGTAAACCCAAATGCTAATTTTCTCAGTTCTATTGCTGTTACGCCATAAAAATTAAGCTAAATATTTTTTTGTGTGGCTATTTTAGCTTCTTGTTTGGCAAAAAATACTGATTTTCTACCTAATGAGACACCTTGAAGATTTTTATTTTTTATTCTTTCTTGCAATGTCGAAAAATGGATGGATTAATCCCTAAGGATTAATAGTATAGGGTATAAATTATAGCATGGGGGTAATACCGGTCAACTGACCGGCATTGCCTCCTGTTGGCACTTTTTTTTTCTTAGAATTTTTTACTCGTAAACATGTATTAAAATATTGATCTTTAAAAAAGGAATAGGCAGCTAACGTCATTATAATCAATTGTAACCAATTTTAAGGTCTACAAGTGAATAAAAATGAATTAAGACCTTATATCACTCAGCATAAAAATAAGATCGAAAACACTGAAAACAGGTTAATAATATTTCTATGACAATGGTTTGTGTCAACTCAACGCTCGTCAGCAATCTGAATACAGAGTAGTGTAGCGACACGTTGGCAGTTATAGGAGGTTGCCAGATTGAATAGATTTCGCACAATCGGGATGACCGCCATTACCCACTGACCGATATTTGCACAGTTTACCCTATATCCTGTATTCTCTTTTTTAATTAATTCACATTCAGAAAACAAAGTTGTTGGAGGTGAGTTATGGTTTTCTTATGTTTTTTTTAATGTCTTACTTATAAGTCATTTCACAACCAACCCTAATACGTTTTTTTTGACGGCTTTATATATTATACTGTATAGATTTGACTAGCACATGTGAATTATATCATATATATTTATACAAGGGTGATCAATTGTATATGCACGAAATCTTTTTATTGGTTAATAATAAAACAAATTTAATTACTTTATTGGTATTTAAAATAAAAATATTGTACAATAACTGTATTTTATCTGTATTAAAAACTTCTCATTCATGAGCAAATAAACACATACGCATCAAAGTGCATCAAGCGTATAGCATTACATAAAAGATTTCAATAATATAAGGAGAAACTCAATATTAATGGTTGGTTTTGAAAATATCTTAGTTGTTGTTTTCATGGATATTGTATGTTTATTATTAGTAAGTAATCTATAAAACAAGAGTTGTTAAAATACAATACTTTTGGAAACAATATGTCACTTTTGTCTAGAGTGGTTAATCTGGCATTTAATGTTATTAGTTTACCATTTTTGGAGGATAATGTGATAGGTGAAGTTCTTAAAAGTGATATATTATTTTTTCCGTTGGATGTAATAACTAATATAGGAGAACCATGCAAAACTTTTATGTACAAATTCGGTAAGTTTTTAATTTCATTTAATTATGGATTTAAAATATGTACTTGGAAGAAAATATTACTAATATTAGACATTGTTGTCTTATGCGATAAGATATTGTAGTTTTAAATTTGATGTCAAATTTTTTTCTGGTTTTCATTATAATTTTCTATGGAGTGGTGTAAATAATATAAGTACTACTAAAAAACATCTTGAAATAAAATCTTCTAGTGTAACTAAGGGTTGGTCTCAGAGTTGGATGGTATCTTCTGACCAACCTAAATGTGGGTGTAGTTTCGAGTAGAGCCCCATAGCGGTTCCTTTTTTTTCCTTGGCTTGGACAATTGTCATTCAGCCAGTCTCCATCAACATAAGTTTTGTTAAAGAATTTAAATATGTCAATTAGTGAAACATGATTAATATAATAATAATAACAGCTAAGCTAATGTACATACTATGTTAATAAATACTATATCATAAGTTTATTATAATTTAGTTATTGAGAGACGCCATCAGAAATTCATAGTGTATACATCTTACAAATAAAAAAAAATAAAAATAAAGTTATCTACCTACTATGTTAATAACTATAACTATGGTAATACATTTTCTTTTTTCACTACGTTAGGACATAAACCCGATTCAACTTCTCGGAGGTTGAGATCCTCTTAGTGATTGTTTTAGTATATTTTTATTTATTTTTTTTTCTTATTTTGTTCTTTTTTTTAATGTATTTTTATAATCATCTTTTTTCTTTTTTTAATTTATTTTTTTTTCTATTTAAATTTATTTGTTTAAGTATTTTTTTTTATTCTTTTTATTTTATTTTTTTTGAACTTTTTTTTTTATTTTTTTCATGAATTTTTTCCAAACATAGGTTAAAAATCTTACTAATTACAGGCATACTTTACTATCAGACAAAAAGGTTATCAAGCAGTTATACATTTTCTTCTCATTGAGTGATAGTAGAAATAGAATATTAACAGGAAAAGGGATGTTCTTGTCTATCATTCTTTTAATTAGGTTGTTGGTAGGTTGCTTATACTTTTGACATTCAAAAAATATGTGGTTTAAGTCACTTTTAATCTGACATTCTTGACAAATATCTGAATCTAATATATTTATTTTAAATAAATGTACAGGATAACATGCATGGCCAAATCTAAGTCTACTGATGGTAGTTATGTATTTGCGAGGGAGGACGAAATTCTTATACCAAGGTTGTTTTGAAATAATTTGTTGTATCAAACTGTATTGTGTTGTTGAAATACCACAGTACATAGCGGTTCCGGAAAGTTAATTCTTTAATCATCGATAATATGTCGTTTCAATTTATAATTTTAACCCCCTCTGTGGCTCAGTGGTAAGAGCGCCTACCTTTGAACCTAAAGGTCGTGAGTTCGAATCCCACCTGGGTGGAAATTCTCGTTTCTATCTATCTAATTAGCCTTCTTCGGTCCATCTTTGGAAATAGGCCTCCCAAATTCTTTTTCATTCTTCTCTGTCTGTCGCTACAGTCATCCATCTAGAGCCCACGTGCTTCTTGATATCATCTGCCCATCTCATTTGGGGCCTTCCTCTGCTTCGTTTATATTCCCACGGTCTCCAACTTATAAGAATTTTGTTCCATCGGTCTTCTTTTTATCTTATATTGTGTCCGGCAAATCTCCATTTCAATTTTGCAACTTCTTGTCTAACATTGATTATATACTTTGGTCTTAAGATGCTGTGGATATCTTTTGTTTTTAAGAATGTAGCTTAGTTTGCCAAATGCCGCCCATGCCAGTCTAACTCGTCTCTTGATCTCTGCTGTTTGGTTCTCTTTGTTAAGTTTTATAGTTTGACCAAGATATATATAATCCTTAACTTGTTCTATTTCATCTTGTCCGATTCTCATTGTGATGTCTTCATCTGTATTTGTTATAGTTTTGATCTTGCTGTAATTCATATTAAGGCCTATCTTTCCAGCTTCTACGTCCAGTTCTTTCATCATTTCAAATAATTCTTCTTTTTTATCGGTTATCAATACGATGTCATCAGCGTACCTTAGATGGTTCAAGCGTTGTCCACAAGTTTTTATACCTTTTTTTCCCATTCTAATCTTTTAAAAGTATCTTCAAGAGCCTGATTGAAAAGTTTCGGTGATATTGTATCACCCTGTCTCACGCCTCTACTTATTTGTAATGATTTTGTTCCTTCTTATACTTTAATTGTTGTTTTGGCTTCCTTATATATATATATATATATATATATATATATATATATATATATATATATATATATATATATATATATATATATATATATATATATATATATATATATATTGGTTATTAGTTCCGTATATCTGTGGTCAATTCGGCTGTTAATCAAAGAACTTTTCCCTGCCCAATGTTCGAGACTGTCGAAAGCCTTTTCGAAATCTATGAACGCCATATATAGAGGAATGTGGTATTCATTTGCTCGTTCTATAAGTATTTTCATACTTAGTAAATGGTCACTTGTGCTGAATCCCTTTCTAAAACCAGCTTGTTCTTTCGATTGGTATCCATCGAATTTTGTCGTCAATCTATTGGTTAAAATTTTTGTTAGGAGTTTATACATTACAATGAGGAGTGTTATAGGACGTTTATTTTCGTTTATTAAAAATTAATAAATGAAAATAATTTCTATCCTTGTGCGATCGGTACTCACCAGAGGGACCTCAGACGTTCGGATACAATTAGCGTCTCTTAACAAAGACAATGACGTCGACTTTGCTAAGTATCAAGACAATTACTCTACACACACATACACACACTACACTAGGTACCTGACTGTACCATGCCAATGATCATAGTTGTCGAGGCATTAACTCAATAATAATAGTAATTTATAATTTTATACTTTTATTATGTAATCTAAACACATCTACTGCTTGTTGATGAGGTTATTTAGCAAGTACTTCAAACTTTACTGAATGTAGTCTGATAAGACTGAAAACATTTAATCCTTACACTTTGACCAATTGTAAACCATTTGGATTTTTAAATTAACGTTGTATTAAACATAATATATTATGCCAAATACACTCGTGAACAATTACTAAAGTTTTTACTTCATTGTAAAGTTTTCAACTACTATGTTAACAGCTAACCCCGGTAACTTTCCCACTTTTAGTTTATTGTCAACTAAACAGTTTTGGTTAAAAAAATTGGATAAATTAGAACGTATTAACAAATAATGTTCTTAGAACAGATCGATTATATGCTATCCATGATTCTTTACACAGACTTAAAAAACATGTAACACCTACCAATAAAAAATTTGTAAACACTTTTTAAAAAACAACCACTACATAAAACTAGTCAATTTCTTTAAAAAAAATAATTTTTTTTAAGAAAGATGTAGATTGAAGCAATGTTATCTGGTATATATTTAATCCGGCAGCTAGGTACCTTTCCGTATACTATTGTTCTGAAGCTATTTTCTTGTGGCATTGTAAATTAATTACTATTTAACTGGGAATAAACTACAATTAAAGATAAAAATACGTTTATTGACATTTCAATTTCCACTTCGGAAATCGTTCTCAAAATACAAACAGTAAATTAAACAAATTTTGTTTTTTGCTACATAGTGAAAATTCTAACAATTTAATTTTATCTGACTCATTTATATTGACAATTCAGACATACATTATGCATTTTAAAGTAGACGACTTTAAAATGATATTGCCAATATTGTTGAGTTGCGCTCCTGGGACGACTTTACTTATAAGATAGTTCATTCGATTACATGAAATCAACTTTAACTTGAGAATATCCGTCAGAAAAAAATCATAGCATGTACGTCTTTAAAAAGACAAACACATGACATGATGACAGTAAAATTCTCCTGTTAGTGATTTCATATGAGAGAAAAACCAGAAAAAAACCTCATAATACTATCCCGACATTGTAAGTATTTGTTCGTGAATTTAGTTTACCTTCAACAAACATCAAAATTCTGATTTTATATGTTACGTTATTGAAAAAACATAAATGATGTATACTCTATATGTTACTGACTTACTAATACTGGTATTTTCTTATTAGTAACTTCCTCTTTCAATATTGGTAACCAGATCCTACTACATTCTGCCGAGGAATTTGCGACACAATTGGCCTCAATTAGAGCCGCTTCTTTGAATTTTCCTTTTTTACCATCCGTTTCTTTTAGGACTACATTTGAATTATTCCATTGAACCCTATGTTCACTATCTCATGCGTGTTTCCGGATTTGAGATCTATTAAATTCTCTATTTTTAATATAAGATTGATGTTCACTTATGTATTTAATGGCCTTGATGATTCACCTAAATAAAACTGATCGCATTCACAAGGTATTTTATAAATGCAATTCTTTGTCCTTTCTTGTTCATTGTTAGGTTTGGTTTTGGACAAAATAAATCTCAACGTGTTTGTTGTTTTGAATGTTGTTGAAATGTTGAATTTATTTCCTATCCTTTTAAGTTTTTCTGATAGTCCTTTTATGTACGGTATTGTTGAAAATTCCTTATTTATAAACGATAAAGGATAATCATTTTTTAATAAAACAGATGTTAACAAATGTTTCTCCTCCAAGAATGAATTTTCGTTAAAACAAGTAATTTTGGCTCTATCGTATAAGGATTTAATTATTCTCTTTTTTACATTAATATTGTGATTTGATTTGAAATTTAAATATCTATTGGTGTGTGTTGGTTTTCTATACAGCTGAGTCTCATATCTATTATCGTTCTTAGAGATTAAAACATCTAGGAAAGGTAGCATGTTATTATATTCCTTTTCCATGGTAAATGTTATTGTCTCTTCTTTATCGTTTATATCATTTAGAAGTGTGTCCAACAACTCTGATCCATAAGGCCATATTGAGAATACATCATCTACATACCTCCACCATACTGTGGGTTTGAAATTTTGTTTAGAAATGATATTTGTTTCAAAATCTTTCATAAATATATCGGCTAAGAATGGAGATAAACTAGAGCCCATTGCTAGA